CTTATAAAGTCCATCTGCTTCGAGGGTAAGTAAATGATCAATCCCCCATATACATTATCATGCAGAGAACATTTCTGTAAGGTAGTGGCAGCTTCTGTGGTTCTCACAAATGTCAGGGAGGCTGGGAGTTTCTTCTTTCCTTTAGGAGATGCTGAAGAAAGAAATACAACTGACCTTTAGGTGAGCAGGACTATTACTGATTAAGGGGATTGATTAAATGTGAATGTACATGGGGGTGTTGTTGGAAGGGGAAGAAGGAGAAATAAATAAGAATAATATGCTTAGCTTAGAATCCTGGATCCAGATACAACCTGCAGTAGGCAGGATCCTGAGTTGACCCTCCACAGGGCAGTGGAGAGAGGCTCTCACTACTCTCCTGGCACATAGAAAACCGTATTTCCCAAATTTCCTTGAAGCTAGGTTGGAGTTACGTGACTGAGTTCCAGCCAATGGGCAAGAGGAATACAGCATTTCTAGGTCTCAACCCTCCGGCATCACTAGTTTTACACACTCTCTGACTCCACATCCCACACCAGTGGAGAAGAAATCTCCTAAGATATCAGGTTCACAGGAAAAAAGCGAGTTAAGTCCATGAGTCATCACTTAAAGGACACTCATGCGGGAGAGTCACCGGATTTTCATCAAACCCAGCATACTTGCTTAGGTGTGCTGATGCTCTGCCATCTGGGGGTTATTTACTAGAGCAGTCATCACGGCCAGTTATTCTACTAAATCAAGGCATCTCATATCTCCGAGCCACAGTTTCCTCATCTAAAACTAGAGTTAATGTAGGAAAATTCAACGATACAAGGTATGTGATAATATTCAGAACATACTCAGGGCTCAATAAATGCTAGTTAAAAAGCTATTGTGGGGCTGGGGATGTGGCTTAAGCAGTAACGCACAGTAACGCACTTGCCTGGCATGCACGGGGCACTGGGTTCGATCCTCAGCACCACATAAAAATAAAGATACTGTGTCCGCCGAAAACGAAAAAATAAATATTAAAAAACTCTCTCTCTTAAAAAAAAGCTATGGTGCCCTGGGCTTGGTGGTGTACACCTGTAATCCAAGCAGCTCCCGAGGCTAAGACGGGACGATCACAAGTTCAAGGCCAGCCTCAGCAACTTAGCAAGGCCCTAGAGAACTTAGTGAGACCCTGTCTCAAAATAAAACATATTTTAAAAAGCTGGGGATGTGGCTCAGTGGTTAAACACCACAAGTTCAATCCTCAGTACCAATAAGTAAATAAAAATAAGGCTATTGTGCTTCACATGAACAAAATGTTCACTCTGGGAAGTCAGTTCTGTTGTTATTACTAATATCCAACTCAAGCTGGCAAAGGAAAAGGGGATTTCACTGGCTCTCAAAGCTAGAAACTCCAAGTGTAGATTAAGCCTTAGGGCTAGTTTAATCCCTCCAGCAACTCAAGGATCACCTTTCTTCTGCCTGGTAAGCTTCCTTCTAAGGTCTCCCCTGATGGTCATTGACAGCTGCTGCTGCTGCTGTTGCAAGAAGAGTTCCAAATCAGGTTTCTTGGGGGTGGTAAATTTTGTTTTTGTTTTGTGGAGCCAGTGGCAAAACTGGAGATGGAACCTGGGACCTCCTGCATCCAAGACAGACACTCTACCACTGATCTGCATCCCCAACCCCCAAGTCAGTTTTGAGAGCAGGAGGAAACCTCCTCCCAGGATTCTAAAAGAGAATCCCTGATTTCTCTAATTGGATTGGCTTAGGTCACAAGCTCAACCCTGAACCAATCATTTTGTTGAGGAGAGCATATGCTGATGAACTGTCAATCATCTGGAGGTAGGGATAGGATCAGTTTTTCTTAAATCACATAGAATCATGGAAGAAAAATGAGTGCACATATTTTTAAAGAAGAAAAGGTGTGGGTTGGGTGGGAGGAGGAGGGTATTAGACAGAAAAAAATGGGGAACAGATAGGCTATCAAAACTGTGCAATGATTGGAATATTTATTTCCCTTAAAGCAAAAAACAAATTGTAGGGGTACATAGTGAATGTTATTTTGTGATCACTGAAAATAATCTTTCAGAAATCTGTTAGTTAATTAGATATGATTTTCAATTTCTTAACCTTTGATAAGGAATTTCCTGAAATATTTTCAGGTACTGACTTCTAGAAATATGCTCAGATATTGGCCTTCTGACTATCTTGATAGTGCACTCAAATTTTTAAAAAAAAAAATTCTCATAAGAATAAGTTACTTTCTTGCTCTTCTGCTTTCCTTTCTTCTCTTTATTTCTCTGTACTTCCTTTGATTTTGTGCAAGTGTTTTAGAGGTTTTATAAGGTGCTATACAAATAGGTGAGGTTGGTCTGTTCTTGCTAAGATAAATCAAATGACACTTAAACATAAAAGAATAAGACTGATTTTTAAACAGACTACTTAGATGTTCGAACGAGTGCTGTTCTTCTGAGCAGTCACCTAGAGAGGTGATCTTCATATTCCAATGAATATTTGAGTCACAGTTCAGATCATATTAATTATACCTCAATTTATACTCAGAAAAACTCTAGTTTCTTGATAGACCACACTGTGCATCTGATTTGATTTCTAGTCCCCTGTAAGATTTTCATAAAAAAATAAAAACGAATCTATCCTCTAAAGCAAAGATTTGTCTTTTTAAATAATATATATTTTAGGATGGGAAGGCAATTCTCCATGGAGAATTACAAAAATATTTTGGATCCTGGCATTAGAATAAATGTTTAAGTGTGCACACATGGGAAGATGCATGTTCAATTTGTTTAATGGAAGAAGAGGAGAAAGAATAAGGAAAGAGAAGAAGATAGGAAGGAGGCAGGATATTGGGCTTCTCTCTCCCAATAGCCTTTTCATCATCCAGGAGCAAAATCCGTCCCTCTCCTGGCCTCCAGGCTAAACCTGAACTCCTCCTGTACCATTCAGGGCCCCTACACAGCCTACTCCTGCCTGCTTTGTGACAGCTTTCCTGGTTCTCCAGCCTTGCCAGACTAAAGCTCTCTGTGTGCCTAGTGAAGACAGGAGCCAAGGTATTTCTCCTCTTCTCTGCAAACCTCAGGAGGTACATATTCCAGGGGCCATTTTTCTCCTCTTGTGATCCTGGCTTCCTCTGAGTGATTTCAGCTCCTGGGCCCTCAACCCCACCTCCTCTCTGTGTCCCTCCAGGCTTAAGGGTTCCCAGCTATTGCTAACCTCCAAGTTCCTCATCACTCTCCTGGTGTGACCAGTTCTCTGTACTAAATTCCCCCTGTTTCCAATGTTCAGTTTTTCCTCATTGGACTCTGATAGATACATCCGCTCATCTCTGTCCAGCAGTATGGAGAAAGTTTGGCTTAATGATAAAACGATGGATGGATGGATGACAATCATGTTTACTTAGCACAAATGATTTTTATATTTATACTTCCCGAGACACTTTTATGGCGCCTCTGAAAATAGCTTTCTTGAACTCTACCCCCTTGTCCTAGACGGATGCCCCTTCCCCAACTGCCTTTCTCAAGTTGACCCACACTGCAATCCTGCTTGGCAGCTGCATCGCTGACAGATGGCAAAGACAATGACTATAGAGTGAGATCAAGACTGAAACCGAATGCAGAATCGAAAACTCCCAGGCTGTTGGCTGGGCCCTTAGGACAATGGTGAAGGATGCATTTTCCTTCCACTCTTCAGGTCTGATATGGGACATGAGCCAGAATGAAGCCATTTTACAGTTATTCTCAGAGTCCAGTGCAATTTGTAGATGAAGAGAAGATTCATATTCCTGGCCAAACTGGAAGGTTTGAGTATTAGGTTGGTGGCTAAAACGCTCCCGTGTATGTGTGAGGCCAGCACATAACAGGATGGTCTCCTCGTTGCTGCCCAGGGCATTGTTATATTTCCAAGGTCTGGAGACCCAGTGAAGAGAAACCAGGCATTTGGACAGGATCCAGGAGTGGCCAGAAGTGATCACTCCTGCTCCACTGAAGAGGGTGGTGGGACCCACCTTCCTGCCCTTCCTGTCCCCCACACAGCTCTCAAATCACATTGGTCCTGGAACACTCTATAAATGAGGCTGGCCATGTACTGAGAAGCAACGTAGCCCTAAAATGAGAAAGATAATACAACTTGTGAATTCTCTCCTGAGAGGTAACATAATAGGTTACCTATTTACAGTCACTTATTGTAGCCTTAGCACTGAAGTGGGGACAGAAGACAAACACAAGAAGTAACTCCTGTTCTTGAAGACCCCTCTGTCTACCTAGGGAAGACAGACACAGGCACAGAGGGTAAAGGCAGGTCAGTGGGCTAGTCGGTGGGCTGAACTGGAGCCTAGATGTCCCCTGTGTGGCCAGCATGCAGCAGGTGCTCTGGGGGAGGCTGGCCAGGGCTAACTGCGGGCCTGACGCTGCCCAGCTTGGTCCCTGGTGTGCCTTTCAGCTCCCTGAGTCTCGGCTTTCTCATCTGGAAAGGGGGATTTTAGTGCCTACCTCACACTAGTTTTGAGCATAAAATGATAAAATGAGTTTATGCACCAAAAGTTATCAGACGTTATCTGATACAAGGCAAGCACAAGAACACTGGTGTGGTCACCAAGGCCACCCTCCATGGTGGAAACAGCTTTGTGAGAATGTCCAAGGTTTCTACTTGGGAACCTGGATGAGTTTGATGCCACTTAGGGCAGGGGATCGGGTCACGGGTTACATCATGGCCTTGTTGAACCTGAGATGTCTGCGGAGCACCCAAGTGAGAAACCCAGTGGGTGGCTAGATACACTCACTGTTGAGTGCACAACACCCAGGACGGTGCCCAGCTCAACACACTGAAGTGTCCAATAAATATTTGTTGAAGGAATGGGTCTGGGACTCAGGAGAGACCTGGACTTCTTGATCACCTTCTGCAAAGTGTGGGCCTTTGTTGTTTTATTCCCTGATATTTTCCTATACAACAGTCAAGGGTATGAGCACTGCCGTAATGATTCACCTGTTTCTTTAAAGCCTGATTCCCTTACTACTTTGCAGGTTCTGTGGACCAGGACAGTGTGCTCTTTGTTCCTCTCCATGTGTCTTGACCTAACCCAGCCTACAGTGGAAATCAGGGAAATATTTGTGGAATGAATGAAGGGCTAGGAACGGGGACTTGGGCATGGAGAGGATGTAGGCAGGAGCCAAGAGAGAGGAGGGGCAGTAGTGAACTGCGTGGCCCCAACCAGCAGGAGCCTCCGGGTTCAAAGTGACTTGTCTGCAACACTCTTCTCCAAACTTTTCAGCTGTCTCCTCCTCACCCACATGCCACACACCCCCAATCTGGCCCTTGTCACATCCTTTCTCTGAGCTGCTGTTCCTTCATCTGTAAAATGGGGATTCATTATGTGTCCTGCCTCCTTTAGTAGGTGGCTGTGGGCATCCAATGAGGTGATTCAATTCAACAAATGTTTATATAGGTGATTAAATGCCACAGTGATAAATGCCTTTGAATAAATGTGCTAGCCTCTGCGCTCAGTTCCACCTGGCTAATGTGCACGCAGATTATGCCACTGTGGCTGGAAGCAGCCTCCTCTGTTCTGAGAGGCAGTAGGAAACAAGATCTCATTGATACATGCCACCTCCCTTCCCCAGGAGCCCTTAATTTCAGTGACAATAGACTTGCATCTTGCAATCTGAATCAGGGCCAGACAGTCTGTCCCATCCAACCTCCATATTCAGAGTCGGTTGACGGAGATCTGACACATGGACCATGGTGGAGGGGCGTGGCTGCACCCTACCTCCCCACAAGCTGTTGCACTCACTGAGTCTTGGCAGGGTGGAGCCTGAGCTGATGGCCATGATGATAGCATGGCTAGTGAGCAGGCAAAATGGACATGAACTTGGGAAGGATGCTCACCTCCTAGGACTGCTATCAAGATGACAAAGGTTCACAAACAGAGACCCCTGAAAGCAGAAGCTGTGCCCTTATCACCTTTGTGGAAGGCAGGACATTGTGCAAGCTGTGGCCTCTCTCTCGACTACCCCACCCTCAGTGTTAGGCCTGAGATTCAAGTCTTGTTAGCTCTATGAAGCCTCCCTACCCTCCCTAGGCAGAGACGCAGCTCCACCTCTATGGAACAGGAACCTGGGGAAATTCTCACTGTTGAGGGCTGTTAAGTGCCAACTGCTATGCCTGATTCTTTATATATCTTCTACCATTTCACAAGCACAACCATCTGGGAGTTGAGGGTGTGAGCCCCATGTTGCAGATCTGAGGGTCAGCCACAAGTCACTAGGTGAAAGTGGTGGAGCTGAGATTGATCAAAAGTCAAATGCACAGTATTTCCACTTGTATTTCCAAACGTATTTGCACTTTGGCTGTGTTGCTAGCAGAGCGCAGCTTGTGTGGTTTTATCTGTTCATGAATGCTCCTCCAGAGTAAGGATCTTCTCCAATCCATCTCCCTGCCTGTCTCAGGCAGGTCTGGAGACTGCTGAGCACCAGGCCCAGGACTGCTCAGGCCCCAGCACTGCTCAGGCCCCAGCACATGCTAACCAAGTAGACAGGGTGGCGGAGCCCTTGCCAGCAAGAGAGATCTGGTGTTAACCTTCCCACCCTGGTTGGTGTTCAATGTGCTGTAGTCTGCTGTCACCAGGGTGTCCCTGAGTTTCACCTGTCCCTTGGTCTCCACTGACCCTGGTTCCATTAACTAAGCATCTGCCTCTTTTCTTTATTTTCACTGTGCTTTTCTGTAGGGCTTTAACCTCTAGTCGGCTTGTCTGGTGCTCTGAGACCTTTTCTGGGTACTACAGGTTCTCTCTCTGGGTGTTGAAATCCACCCCTGAGGTGCTGCCAATGAGTCTTCTCTAATAAGCTGTACCCATCCCTCTCTTAGAGTCACATTGATGTCATCCCTGTGCTCTCCTGTATAGACAGTCACCTGCTAGCTAGACCACTGTGGCTAATAGCACTTGACTAGACCTCAGTCAAACAGATCTGCCATTGAAACTCAGTTCTGCTTCTTACAGGCTGCATGGTCTAGGGGAAAAATTCTTAACACTTTTACACGTCAGTTTCTTTATCTATAAAGTGAGGGTAATAATGCATACCTCCTAAGAGTACTGAGAAAATTAATGGGACAATATATACAATGACCGTAGTGCCTACTGTTATTCCCAACAGCCCAGATCATGTTGTTACAAATTGCAGCCTGACCTTCAATTCACTCCCCAAGGAGCTGGCTAAACCCACATCAGGATAAATTTCCTTATCTCCCAACCCAACTGTTTCTATTGTCTTGGCTTTTCCTACTATTCCACCATAATGTTTTACTGTCTCAATAATGTACTGTAAGAAAATTGTATTAGTCAGAATAAGGTAGGATATGCCACAGTAACAAATGGGCCCAAGTTCTTGGTAACTTAATACAACAAAAATTTATTTGTATCACAATCTTGTGACTATTGGAAAGATTCCTCACTGGCTTTCTTTGAAGTAGGGACTGACTCAATAATGGAAGTCCCTTTAATCTTGTGATTTTCCTGTCTTAAGCACATGATTTCAGAAATTGTTGCAAAAAGAGAAGAGAGAAAGTAAACAATTGATCAGTCTCACAGGTCATATTTGTATCTCTTAACCACATATTGACAGGACCTATTCATATGCTTAAGTATAACTGCAAGAAATGCTAGAAAGATAATCTTCTCACATATCCAAGAAAAGGAATTCAAAATGAGATTTGGTGAACACAAAATGTTTCCTCTGTCTACTTCCTTCCCATAATAGAATACCCTCCATAGTCCCAGACTCGTAGCCTGTGGAACTGCTCATTCATTGGTACTGCAGCTGTGCTGACCTCAGAAGACATTGCTTCCCCTTTATTTAAAAGTCCATCCCAATGTGAGCCAAAGCTGCCTTCTTTTTCACTATGGCAGAGTTAAGATGAAACGTCTAACTACAACAGATTTTACCAACACACCTGGGGGATGACACCTGGGGAATAAACAGCACACTATAGCTTGCCAATTAACATTTTGAAAAAATGGAGTTTATGAATCTTCAACTTGGATCCTCCATATCTCTGCCCTGCTGCCACAGTTCAGAAGTCATCTGACCCTACCATCCAGGAATGCCTGCACACATATCCTACACCATAAAACATACTCATGGCACAGAGAAGGGTTGTGCACATGAGTGCAGAGAGAAGCCATTGCCTCCCATCTCCTCACAGGAAAGAACCATGCTGACTTTTAGACTCCACAGAGCTTTCTAATACATATGAAATTGCCTACCTAAATTAAGATTCCTAAGTCACATGACTGATTGCTATGGTTTGAAGGTTTGGGTCTCCTCCAAAATTTAGATTGAAACTTAATCCCCAATGCAACAGTAGTAAGAGGTATTTTTGGAGGGGAATAGGCCATGAGGGATGGGATTAGTGCCTTACAACAGAACTGGGGGGAATTAGCTGGGCTTTTACCCTTCTGCCCTCTGCCATGTGATGATGAATACAGCTCTTATCACCTCAAAAGGATCATCTTGGAACCACAGATTGGATCCTCATCAGCTACCCACTTGGGTCTTGATCTGAGCCCCATAAGTGAGCAATAAATTTATGCTATTTATAAGTTTCCTGGTTTAAGACATTTTGTTATAGC